TAGGTAAAAAACGTGGTCAAATAAGGCTACCGATACATGTTTTTGCAGTAAAAAGTCAACCCTAACAGCCACAAAGATAGTTGTCAAACAAGAAGGTGCTTCTACTATGCAAGTAGAAGAACCCGATATGGTCAATCAGCTGGTCTACACAATGACAAAATATTTCATTGGTAGCACGCAGATCCATTTCAATCTTGCTACCGAATCTCTTTTGGGACTTCGCTGTCGCAAGATGAACCGCTATAAATGGTATAAAGACACGTTCTTAGCACGTCTTTATACTTTTACAACATGTGGAGCAGATATCTGGAAACAAAAATTTGTCGAAGGACTTCCACATTATATAGCTGAAAAATTCTATCAAACTATGGCGACAAACTCTGTGACCAAGTAGATTGACTGGTCTGAGTTAACATTTGGAGATATTTTTGCCACTGTTCAAGCAATATGCATTAATCTCTGCTCGGAGAATAAGCAGACCACCTAAGTAATCAAAGATTCCGACTACCGAAAGGAATTGAGAACTTTCTGCAAACAATACGACCTTGATAATGGGCCCAAGGAAGAGAAGAAAAAATGCAGGAAATCTTCTAACAAACGACTCTTTAGCAAGAGTAAGTTAAATGATCCTGAATTTCCTCGACGCAAGAGGAAATATTACAACAAAAAGAGCAAAAGAAGGTATTCCTCCAAGACGGATGCTGTTTGTTACAAGTGCAACCGCAAAGGACATTACTCAAACAAATGCCCATTGAAAGATAAGATCAATTCCCTGACCATAGAAGAAGAAACACGCCAGTCTCTTCTCTATGCCATCAGAAGCGAAGAGGAAAGTTCTTTTCAATCCGAATATTCGTCCGAAGAAGAAGGCATTAATCTCCTAAATGAAGGAGACTCAAGTGAAGAAATGTTCTTCTCTCAAAGCGACTCCTCTGAGGAAGATGGAGTCATCCCCTGTACTGGCCATTGTATTGGAAAATGCTGCAGCCATATCAATGTCATTACCAAAGATCAAGAAACCCTCTTCGATCTTATCGAACAATTACCTGACGAGCACTCCAAGCAAATGTGTCTCCTCAGACTAAGAGAAAGCCTTGAGACTCAAGTGTCTCAAAAGAAGCCCGATCAAGATCTGATAATATATTCTTATCAAGATATATTAAACGGAGTAAAAGGAGAGGCTAAATGGCCTACCCAAGTAGAAGATCTTCACAACGAGGTGAAGATACTCAAAAAAGAGGTTGTTGACAACAGACAACGTCTTTCTACTCTTGAAAACACATTCAACATTTTTCAAGAGTCTCAAACCGATAGAGAAGTTCAACTACAACAGGAAGGAACTTCTTCAAACCCAGGGATTGCAGGGAAAGCTTTGCTAGTTGAAAATCCAAAGAATATCAACTACATTAACAAAGTTCAAAACTAGAACTAGATGTCCAAAATTGTCTTTAAAGTCAAAGACTACCAACTTGAAACATGTGCTCTCATCGACTCTGGAGCCGATCAGAATGTCATCCAAGAAGGCTTAGTTCCATCTAAATGCTTCGAGAAAACTAAAGAAGTTCTAAGCGGAGCTGGCAGAAATCCGTTGAACATCCGATACAAACTTTCAAAGGTCCACATTTGCAAAGAAGATGTGTGCCTTATCAACACTTTCATTTTGGTTAAGAACTTTAACGAATGAGTCATCCTAGGTACCCTTTTCTTGACTCAATTATATCCTTTTTCAGTCACTGATAAATGAATAGTCCAAAAGAAGTTCAATAAGGAAACTATCTTCGAGTTCAACCATCCGGTGATCGCAAGGTATATTTCACCTATTGAAGAAGATATTCGTCAATTCATCAATAGTATCGCCAAAAAGGAAAACCAGATTGAATTCCTTCAATACAATATTAGAACCTGCAATGTGGCTATTCAAATCAGAAAGCCATCTGTTCAGCTCAAAATTTGTAACTTCCAAGCAAAGCTAGAAAAGGAAGTTTGTTCAAACATCCCAAATGCCTTTTGGGATCGGAAGAAGCATATGGTTAATTTACCATATGTCGAAATCCCCACTAAAGCTCGCCCATTCAAATGAACAAAAATCTGGTCAAGACTTGTACTGAAGAAATAACAGATCTACTAAAAAGGGGACTTATTAGCCCTTCAAAGAGTCCTTGGTCGTGTTCGGCTTTCTATGTCAACAATCAAGTCGAAAAGGAGCGTGGGATTCCCAGGCTTGTAATCAATTACAAGTCTCTCAATAAGGTTCTCAAATGGATTAGGTATCCTATACCTAACCGACAAGATTTGCTAAAAATGATAGATTGGACTGCACGTGTTATGTTCAACAGTCCATGACTTTGGATTCTTTTTCAACCTGTCAAAGAGTGGCAGACAGATTGTTCGAAGATCTTTAATAAAGTCTCCAATATAATTTACACAATCCAAGAAATGTTGTAGCTGTGTTTTGTCTTGGATGACATCTTGAAATTTATCTACAAATTCCATAGACCGTTGGATTGGCTTGATGATTCCTTGATTGATATCGTAACCAAGAAATCTAACCTTTGTTTGGAACAACTTAATCTTTGGTTGGGAAACCACGAGACCATCTGTTTTGATAACGTTGAAGAACACTTGCAGATGCTTAAAGTGTTGATCCATAGAGTTTGAGAATATCAAAACATCATCAATATAAACTATTGTGAATCTATCAAATCTTTGGCCAAAAGCATCCCATGCTTATCTTTTATTGATGAACAGGCTAAAATTATTGTAGACACTGACGCATCTGATTTGGGTTACGACGACATCCTCAAACAAGAAGTTAACTGGAAAATCATGATTGTCCGTTATCATTCAGGCGTTTGGAATAGTATTAAGAAAAACTATTCCACAGTAAAGAAGGAAGTTTTGGCAATAGTACTTTGCGTACAGAAATTCCAAGGAGATCTTATCAACAAAAATTTCACAATCCAGACAGATTTAAAGGCAAGCAAATTGATCTTTGAAAAAGATGTAAAAAATCTGGTCTCAAAACAAATCTTTGCAAGATGACAAGCAATACTGTCTTACTTCGACTTTCAAATTGTGCCTATAAAAGGAAGTGAAAACTCCTTTGTTAATTACCTCTCAAGAGAACATCTCTTGAAGAAACAAGATCACTGAAATCTTCTTCCTCCTCTCCTGATGGAGCCTCCTCTCGGTCGACGACGGGCAAGCACCCAGTGGCCCCCGCCACAGAGAAATAATCCCCAAATTATTTCTCTTTAATTAGTAGCATCCTTCTCTAGAGCTACTCCCTCAAAAGGCAAACATCCCGTCTCTCAACCATCTGTACCATCACCGATGAGTGCAGATAATTACGCCATGGATATCCAGTTTGAATCGGTATCCAGACGTCGTCAAGGTTCTTACCAAAAGACCTTGTCCATTCAAACAGGTCTCTCTGACCTTCCTCCTTATCCCTCTACCACGTTGTTATGCCCTTCAGGGACTACAACTCCAACTAAGCGAACTGCTCCGCCAGCCGCTTCTTCCAAATCTCTGATTCCAAGCTTCCTCGTTCTCTCAAATAGTCAGACCAAAAATCTTTCAGCCTAGACCTCCCATTAATGGTTATTTCACCAAGACTACCATGGTTGATTTAACTATCGAAACAGAGTTCGACGGACCTTCTATCCAAGAAGTCTACAATCAAATATTTCCTCTCGGCTTCAATTTCTTACTAGAGTATCTTCTCAAAACTCGTATTTTCTATGAGTTTATTCTTGTTGATTCCAAATCAGGAAAAATTACTCATATTCCAGATAAAAATGATTCTTCTAAACTCAGAATTTTCCGTGTTCTTACCCCTTCCTACTGGAAACCGGGTATGTTCGTCAGATCTCCTACCCAGACGATGTTGAATCTTCAGCCTCTGTCAACGACGTAGTCGACAACGACGAAGATGACTTCGATCCTTTCGCTGGATACGATATCAATGACCCATTTTTAGATTCACAACCTACTAATGTTTCTAAATCTGGATAGTTCAAGTGTTTAATTTTTTACTTTTAATATTTGTAAATTTTATAAATTAATTTGTTTAAATTCCGTTTAAATTCTTAGATAAGATCATTGTATTCCGATTTTATAAAAAATATATCTAGTCTGCTATTACGTGAAGGAATTTCAAGAGAAGAATCGATGAGGTAGATGGCATGCTTCTGATCGTGGATTAACCAACCACAAGGCAATGCGGTTAACGTAAAGGATTGACTCGGGAAGAGTGGATTCTATATCTCAAAGGTAGCTTTGGTTGGTTTACGATAGATAGAGTTCCTTGGGTAGTTTAGGCAGGAGGCCATGAGTAAGTCCCTAAATGGAGCGATTTTATCTAAAGGAAGTTAGTAACGCCTGTACGATGATATACAGAATCCTCGATCCTTGCCATTTAAAAAAAGCTGGGTGACGTCATCATCATCTTGTTAAGCAAGTTTCTTTGTTCCATATCAACTTTACTTTCGATCTCTTTTCTTTTCAAAAGATAAGATTCTTTAAAAATAAGATATCTTTAAGGAATCTTATCCTATCGGTCATTGAGACAAGTGTCAAGTCAATAGGAACGATCTATAATTGCTATATTGAGCTATTATCGATTCGTCCGTTGTTAAATAAGAGGATCTAAATTGAAAATTTTGGTACTAAAAGAAAACATATATTTAGCCCAAGATTATCATAAAAGTTTCAACTAACAAAATTTTTTTAACAAGCAAAGAGGAAAGACACGTTCATTAAAATCCAAGTTGTGGGATCGGTAAAGTATAAATTGGTATCTTATTTGAAACAAAATGCGAAAGCATATTCTACTGTTTTTTTTTTCTTCTCTTTATATTGTCCCTAATAAACTTTAAGACATCTTGTAAATGTATCGAAGACAAGGAATAAATGATTTTTCTGAGAAGGTCATGAGTTTAGATCCCACACCCCACATAGTGTATTAAAATATATATATAATAAATAAGAGACAAATCTTCATTGAAGCAAAATAATGTTCTTATTCTCCTTTCTTATTCTTTTCCTGTTGAACACTTATCAATAAAAAAGATGCAACGAAATTCGTCACAAGATGATTTTGAATCAGTAAAAAGATACATACACACACAGCCCCCAACAAAAAGGGGGGACAGCATAAACTGACGGGAAAAGATGTCTTTTTACTACATATACAACTTACTTTCTGTGCCTAGAAAGACTTGTGCTGGTCTGGACTCTCGTATCTCGAAAACACCAGTCGAAATAACGATAAAAATACCGCCCTTATACACGACATTACGAAGTTCCAACAAGATGACGGCCAGTACCATGGGTACAATAATCTGAAAAACAGGCTTATAAGATGTCTAGGATATCGTCCGACCTGTACCAAAAATTCTCGATCAAACTAGTCGATTTCCTTGTAACAATACTACAAGTGTATAAGTACTTATAAAACAAGGTACTTTTATCTGAAGTAACTTTGCAGTTTATATGCTTTGTTACCAAGATCCAGCAGCCCACAATAATAGTTCAACCACCACCTTTTTGGTGTAAACCAAAATTACTTTTAGGGGTTGCGGGGAATAAATAATCTAGAAAGAATTATTGAAGAAAGTAAAAACAAAATAAAACATGCCTATATAATTCTATTGCAAAAAAAAGTAAAATAATGAACCAACCCGACTCATAAAATTTCTATCTATTTACCCCAAACCTAACCCGACCAAACTTATAACCCTAGACTGGGTTGAGTTAGGTTGGTCATGTTCATCTGAACACCCCTAACAAGTGCACACGGCTAAGGTTAGAGGAAGCTTAGCAAGTTTCAAACAATGAACATTCTTAAAATTTGTTTCTATTGTGCAGTGTGCTTTCGGCAAAATGGGCCAATCGTACTTACTGGAAATAGCAAATCCAGAGCGTCCCACGCAGCATGTCGAACGGCTCTGGTAGGATACATGGGACCACCTGGAGAGGTGAAGCTGTACAGACAAGTTTTGAACCTTGTACTTGTGGTCATTCTGAGTTCCATACCTATATAAATCAATAACATTGGTTAGAAAAATTAGCTGGGAACTATCGAGTGTCGGTGATGTCAGCCAATGAATACCTTGGAGAACAATCAGGTGCGAAAGATAATGCAGCAGAACTGGTTCCACCTTCAACTTTTGAATCTGACCAATACAATATTTTAAAACCAATATTGAACTTGAAGATGTATTTAACAATGACAGTGACAAAAACAAGATATTTCATGATATTCAAGTATTACAGAAATTTTTCTCTTTTTTTTCCTGCTTTGTTTTGTTTTGTTTTATAGAAATTTTTACAACAGTAACTTAAAAGTATGAGTTCGTCTAGATTTATTTATTTAATCGTTCATCCAGATTTATTTATTTAATCCAAAAGACAGCATCAACTGAAAGATTTTGCAAAGATAAATATCTATTCACCTGATCTGTAAGTTCAATCACAAACATGTCAGCTGGACCACCAACTAGTATGGCATTTGGGAAAGGAGGAAAGTGCTTTAAGAGACTCTCAAGCTTATCATCTGAAACACAACAGATTATTATATGCAGATGGGCACCCAGTTGATAAACCTTAGTGAGGGAAAAAGTCCATTGAAAATCACATCCAAATGGCAATTATAGCTAAAGCTCACCTGAGTCGTAGAAAATTAAGAACCTTGAAAGTAAAAGAAAAAGATCTCTTTGAACCTGCCATAAGGGGAAAAAGAGAGAGAGAGGGAGAATCGATTACAAAACAATTTTCTTCAAATAGATTGTATTTATTCCTTGCTGAATGAACATAATAAATAATTTTTATCATGCAAAACTAAGTAAAACATTCAACTCTAACCTGTATGGGAATTTTGTTCAATCTGAAAGGTTGAAATGCAACTTCTTCAAGAAGATACTGGACAACAATATGGAGGATTAGCACAAGTTTAACCACATGTCACCAAAAGAAGGAAATTTTTTCTTTCGACCAAACTCTTACCTGAAAGAGAGATTTAAATCGACTAGTGTTTGCCTGAATATCAAGCCTGAATCAGCATACAAAGGTCATTGCGAGAATACTAAAATATCATTCTCATTATATGTCTAAAATAGGAACATAAAAGATGTCATGTCAGCAGCTGTATGAAACAATGGTATCATGCAATCTCTGATGAAGTACCCATATAAAAGGTGCTAATTGAAGTTTGAGAATATAGGGGAAGTAATGATCAAATGCTCCTAACAGTTTTAAATCACAGCAAATCAAATGCGCTCTCCATAAGTGCAAGAGAGAAGGTCCGTGACATAAAGGGTGCACTTGCTCATGGCCTGAAGTGTCTAAACCAGAAAAGGATCTAACGTGTGTTATCAGCACTGACAGATAAATAGAAGCAATTTTTTGATGTTCAATATAAAAATTGGAAGCTAAAGAAATGTCGTTCCCTTGCAAATTAGTATGAACAATGGTCACTTTAGTTGATGTGTCTGTGTCCGACATGTACAGAATACTCCGACATTTTGACATTCATTCTAATGTTATGCACAATAGGCACATGTTGGATACTAGTGGAACAAATTGGATATTAAATCCTAACATTTGTTGAACACCGTGTCATACATTTATTAAGCACAATAGAAACATGCCTGAAGCTTGTGAACATATCTCAAATAATTGTTGCACTTGAACTGGAGCATTTGAACTTGTATCTATTTATCTATTTACTTTTTAAAAAATGAGGGACATAATGAAGAAAAATAATACAATTAAAGAGTGAAAAACAACAAACTTGTTTTTATAAACGTAATAAGATATTAGATCTTTAAGAAAAACGATAAGTTGGTCTCAATGTTTTAGAAATATTTCTATGCATGGCATATTGTATCATTAAAGATAGGAAACTAATTTTTTTTCCAATGTTTGTCAAAAATATTTTATAATTGACAAAAAACAGCACATCATATTGAGATAGGAAACAAGTTTTCTCAACTTCTACATTGTCTTTCATATGATATATATATCATAAACCAAATAAATTTTCAACCAGAGAATCATTGATATACATAATAAGATTCGTCATATATATTATAATAAGATTCATCATATATATTTTAATAAACGTATTGAGTATAAAATCTGACTTGTGTCCGTGCTTCTTTTTAAATAACATTGCATCAAATATAAGAAAGCAAGGAAAAAAAATCTTATCTTATGTTTTTATCAACGGTTCTGTAAACCAAAGAAATCATCTATATATATTTTCCTCAAAACAAAAATCATCTATATATATTGTAAGTAACTGGCTTTGGTGCCCATGCTGAACAAAAATCAGAAATCATAAACTAGAAACTTCGCATGATTGTGCTCTATATCAAGATCGGATGATGTTTGAAGAATGAAACTGATATTCACAAAAAATTGGTAAAATTCATACCAGAAGATATTTGTGGCACCTTGAACAAGAGCTGACGAGTTACGGAGGTGAACTTCATCAGAATTTTCAAGCTCTATTTCAAAGAGCTGCAAGATAGATCAGCATAAGGCACCAAATCTTTCTTATAAAATAGAAGAAAGAAACTCCAATGGCAAACATGTTTAGACAACTTTCAAAAAGCATTCATAGCCTTCAACACTAATTAAAATATGAACTCCGAGTTATTACTTGAGGCCACAAGTAGAATTCATTTAAGCGCATAAAAATTAGTTTTAGAAACAATGGAATCCAGATGGGTAGCAATTCCATTAAGAATTTAGATGGAAAACAATCGAACTATTTCATCATCAAACACAATATAAGAATAATAGAAAGTGAAAATCACATCTACGTAGAGAAATGCAAGGGGCAAGTTCACCCACCCATTTGTGGAATAAAAGGGTGAAAATATGACATGTAAACGACTGGCTCCACAGTTTGACAATCAAATCAAGGATTGGTTTTCCGCTTTCTGGCACCTGAACATAATAATCAGCAAGAACATCGTAAAAGCATAATGGACCATCCAATCCATGCTCTACAGGTGCAATTGCATCTTCCTCCCGGCTGAGAATTATTTCTGTTTTATAAAGCAGAACATGAGTGGATAGTGCTCTAGCAGTACGTAACACAAGTCCTAATCTCATTTTAAACTATATAAGACGATACAACTAATACGAGCTTCAACAAACTAGGTAGAAGTATTCAATAAATTAACTCGAATAGATTAATTCTCTATTTCATTAAAAGGGACACAAAAGACCATTCTTCATTTTTCATGAATATTGATGCAAAACGATGACTTCTGAGGTCAAAAATTTAATAAATAACAATAATTGGGACAGTTAGCATAGATGATTGAACTATGGTCAACGAATCAAGTTAAGGCAATATACATTCAATCTCAACGGCACAAGATAAGTTAGTCCTCGTTTGGTACCAAAATTTAAGATAAAATTGTGTCCGAAGATCGAACAAATCTCGAGCATAGGTTTAGGTTCGGCCCCTAACAAAGACCAAGAACTATGAGATAGTCGCTCTAACTAAAATATGTTGACGCTCGAATTTTCATGATTATTTTCTAGATTTTCTCATAACGATCAAATTATATCCGGTCTTGTTTCCACTTTTTCCGTCATTCTTGACACAATTTTTTATTTTACAATCATTCTTGACACAATTTTTAAATATTGAAACTTCTGTTATTTAAATCTTTCTTTTGGTGTGAGGAACTTATCATGAATCCAATGATTTCTGCCGCAAGATCACGTCTCTCATTACGAGCTTGTACACATGCTTCTAGAGCTGATATATTCTTCTGGAAATCCTAGCTATTCTCAACATTCTTTTTTTGTTTTTTGTTTTCTATTTTTGAAAATTATGTTTGCTTGCTCAAATATGTTTTCACATTTCTTAGAAATGCATTTGCATTCTTTGCCAAATTCCAAAAAAAAAAAAAACAAGTTTTTGAAAACTATTTCTTAGTTATTAAATTTTGACTTATATTATGAAAAAATTTAGGTAGTAAAATAAAGAAATACATGGGTGAAATTAGTGTTTACAAGCCTAATTTTCAAAAACAAAAAACCAAAAACAAAACGGTTATTAATTAAAAACTAAACTGATAGCAGGTACATATAAAAAATAAACAACTGCACCCTTAGAAATTATGAGAAACTTATAGGACCAAGACACTCTTCCACATGCTGTTCTTAGTACTGTTTGTCGAATATAAGATTTGGCACTACCAGAACTCACCTTTGGCTCGATCATCGACTTCTAATGCTACGTCAGCAAACAATTCTTGCAGTACATCTCGCCTCTGTGATGAAGAAGCTAATGCCTACAATGAAAAAATAGAAAAATAAAAAATAAATCTTAGAGATAATGATAGTTTCCAATTCACTACACGAAAAAACACCAAACAGTACAAGGAAGGAGAATTGCGAATTCCTACCTCAGTCTTCTACACTCTCTGCTCACCCTATGCCAATTAACACAATTGTAAAACCCAACCAAACGCATGTCCTCTCTCTAGAACAGAATACTCTCTTTCCTCTAAGGCGCCACTCAGTTTCCCTTTTAACCCTTTCTTGCAGAAGTAAAATGAGAGGGAGGCCTAACATTTGCCCTAAAGTTGAATTTTAGTGGTGTCAGGGGCTCCAACGAAGCTTCAAAATCCACTAAGCCTTTCCATTTAACGTGGACCTTTTATCAGACCCTTATTCAGTATGTCACATCCCCAAAACATATTTTGGTTTAAGGTTCCATTCTAAGTTGGCATCCAGGGAACCCAACAACGTTTGGACCAAAATGCCGAGTCCTGTGAGGTAAACCTTATATCTGGTGAACTTTGCTGGTAGAACCAGCCGATAAGCATTTTACCAATTCATACAAGCAGCTGGTAGAGACAAGAACCTTTCAGAGAAAGCTGTGCATTCATCTTTTGAGATAAGAACACAGTATATATGACAGAAGTTACAAATAGAACATATCATCCACCAGGTATTCAACCTCTTTGGGGTGCTGGGGGCAAGGCTTAGGTAGCCAGGGTTTGAGCCAGGGGTTTAGATAACCTGGGTGTATTTAGGATATAGGTTTAGGAAGTCTGGGTTTGTGAATTATCTAATTGTATTAAATCAATTTTTGTATTTTAGATTTATTCAAGTCTCATTTTTTTTAGTTATTTTATTTTTGTTATTTTAATATAGTTAAGCCAAAAATAAAATAATTTTCTTGTTATTTAAATATAACTGAATTGAAAATTAAAATTTTTTGGTATGTTTGTTATTTTAATTTGATTAACTTAAAAATTAATATATCATTTAGATTATTTTAAAAGGACTAAATTAAAAATAAAATACCATATATTTATGTTATTATAATATGACTAAGTTTGGAATGATTATCATACCGATACCTTTATTACTTTGAATGAGGATAATTCGAAAATCTAATACCTTCTTTAATATGGCTAATTTAGAATTCTAACATTTTTTATTTTAGTATATTTATTACTAGTTGATCTAATACTGAATTAGTGGTTGCAAATTGTCTATACTGTACTAAGTAAGGTGATGCTCACCCATATACTGTCGATCTAAAAATGAATGGTGAAATTATACCATGCCAACCAAAAATGCCACCATTCAGTTTGTCATAGCAAAACCAATGGAAACGACCTCAGGTCGGCCATTTATTCAGGGTGATATGTCAAACTTCTCTTGAGGAATGTGCCTTGTAACCAAAACAACTCCACCCAAAAATTACCCAGGAAATTCTTTTCATTTGGGAGATCAGCCAAAAGGCCATAAATACAAATGATAAGTTCCAATCTATGATGCCCTTCATGGTTGTCTCCACAGTGGTGCACAATTTGCAAGAACCTCGAATCACAGCATCATCTCTTCTCTAGCTTAGTTAGTGATTAAACTTTCTGCTTTTTACTTTACAATTAAATGGGAGCATTTTCTTTGGGTGGAGCTTCTTTAAGAATGTCAATCTGGGGATGGAACATGCACTATACAAGAATATGTCTGACCTTTCAGGAAATTACTCTAAGGTATTTTTCCCTCTGTATTTTCTCTCAACTCAAGCTGGCCCATTCTTGAATGCCCTCTGATTTCCCTACGAGGATGCATCAATAGGTTGCTAGATGCCTCTGGACTAAGAACAACACTCAAGAGCTGTAAGCTAAAAGAATTCCCATGTTGCTAGGCGCAAGGACTTCTATTAAAAAAGTTCCTACATATCACATCATGAAGCATAAGCCTCACTGCCTCTCTTCTTTTACCTGCAATGCATACTCCCAACCGTCACAGCATGTGCTGCTTCATCCTTTTCTTTCACACGCTTCTCTCGACATAGCAATGCCAAAACCTAAAAACCTTTAGCTAGGACTCTAACCAGGCTTCTCTCGAGCTTCAGATTACGCTTGGGTTAAGCTTATTTGATAATTAAACTCCACGATATTGCTAAAACTTTTAGTCCTAAGGCTTCTGCCTTCTTTGGAACATGGTTGCATCTCTATAAGAACGCACTCAAGCATAATGCTTAGAAGGAAGGATAACATTTTCAAAAAATATAAAAATTTACATATGTATTTAATGAATCATGAGTTGAGAGAATTAGGTGTACTACTACTACTAACACCCAAGCTTTAAAACATTGAAAAAAAAAATTAAAGAATACAGTGCCCTCATTAACCAATACCATCGTCGTCTAAAAGAGTTCTAATTTCTGAGTTTGAGGACTACATATCTGTAGAATCTGTTTAAAATATTACTACCCCACCAATTCATGGCCAACAATCCAAAATTCTACTTCTCAATTCATTGGGTGGTCTCCAGTTTTAGGTCTAGCCCGTCAGGTTGTAGCACCGAGATCTCATCTCACACATTCCGCCAACCATAAACTACTCTCGAAGACCTTCATAAATCCATCTATGGGACTACCAATGTTTCAACAGCTTTAGATTTTCAACTATTCCTTCTTGTTAACTGGAAAAAAATTGCTTGCATAAGCTTCCCTCTTATGTCAGTGGAAAATGAAGTAGACATTTAAAGGACTGGACAATTAGCAAACCTTTTCCTAGTCTTCATCCATCAATACCAAGTCAAAGTATCACAATCCAGACCTATCACCACCGCTAACAACCTTCAAGAACCACAGATATAATCCTTACTATAAAAAAGGATAACAATATAGGCCTGTACTGAAATAATTCCAACACACTTGAAATTACAAAAATAACCATTCCAATAAGAAGTAATTTCAAGGATTGCATAATTTCAAAAAGTTTTTGGGGAGAGCACATTAAGAAGCCCCATGAAACTTGTTTAAATCAAAACTTTCTTACCAATGAGAACTTTGGTCATCCAAGATGCTCCAGTTCCTTTCCTACCAAATTCCCCAAAATCATAGTTCTAACCATGATGATTTGCTTTCCCTCTAAAGCCATGACTGAAAAGAAAAGTGAAGATGTTTTTAGCCTATATTAATAACCCAAGAACATCCAAATATCTGAAAAGACACCTCCATAAACGTTTGTTGTATGGATAATGAAAAAATACTTGGTGAATATCTTCTTTAGCTCTAAAGTACAAAGGGCATATCTTCTCCAGCTATAAAATAGTAGGAGAATGAGCAAGGCATAATCTCTCGGTGCAAATCTCTCTTGCCTTCTCAGTGAAAATGGTGGAAGAGATGCGAGTTTCCATGGATTTTAATGGTCAAATTGTCATAAATGGAAAATATGACTTTCTTCTCTAGCTTAGTTAGTTATTGAATTTCCTACTTTTTACTTTAAAATGAAATGGGAGCATTTTCTTCGAGTGGAGCTTCTGCAATGTACATTGAATAAAAAATTCTTTAAGAATGCCAGTTTTGGAATGGCACATGCACACTCTACAAGAATAAGTCTAACCTTTCTAGAAATCACTCTTAAGGTAGTTTTCCCCAAGCTTTTCTCTCAACTCAACCTCACCTATTCCTGAATGCCCTCTGATTCCCTACGAGGATGCAATACACCTCTATTAATAGGAAAAAATCTGGACACACATTACAACGCCTAGGGGCTGTAAGCTAAAAGAATTCCTATGCTGCTCAAGAGCCATGCATGGCATGGGCCTTGCGCCACTTCTATACAAAAATAAGTTCCTACATCTAGCAGAGGCATGAGCTTCCACTGCCTCTCTTCTTCTACGTGCAACGCATACTCCCAAATGTTGCTGCATGTGCTGCTCCATCGTCTTTTTGCACGCTTCTTCCAATATAGCAATGCCAAAACCTAAAAACCTTTATCATCCCTCCTCTTTGAGATTGCACCCAGTTTCTTCGGTCATTTCCACTTTGGCTTCCCCTCATTCATTCAACTTTGGCTTTTGTCACCCTTTGTCTAATAGGGAGACTATGGACGATGTGACTTTAATCTTTGTGTAGGACAATACCCATATTTGTCCAAAGAATCGAGATATTTGTTTTTTTTTTATATCCGTGAGTGTCCAGGCCCGCTTACGCGCACCTCGACTAATCTCACGGGGCAACTGTCTGACCCTACAACATTTGGTGCCGGGAAACACAAAAGAATTACTAATTTTCTAAGGGAGGTGGCCATCATGGAGATATTTGTTTTTTGGTCTCCCAATCCTTCAAAAGGGAGTTCTCTTGCAGCTCTTTATTTGGCCTCTTGTGTAGCCCTCACCCCTATGCATCCCTTTTATTCCCCTCAGAAGGTTAATATTCCCTAGTAGGTCAAATTCTTTGATTGGTAACCCTTCTCCAATTCACCCATTCTCTCCTTTAACTCTAGAACAAACCATGGTCCCTGTTTCTCACTCAAGTACCAAGTTGATAGGTTCGAATTATTTAAAGGGAAAACAATACCAAGGAAATTACCACAGCCTTCCCCTGAACTCTCTACTCACCCTTCACCAATCAGGCAAACCACACAATTCCAATACCCAGCCAGCACGCATTCTCCCTGAAATCGAATCATCTCTTCTCTAACAAACTCATGTCTCACAATTCCCATTTTTAGCGCTCTTTAATAAGTAAGTTCTACGGGAGGCCTACCTGAATTTCGTTACCAATACTTCTCTCACATGGAGAAGCAAAAATGCCACTTGAATTCACAAGCTCGAAAATATGGGATTATGCCGCAATAGCATAACTAATTCTAAGTAATCAATCCAATAGTTACCAGAACAGGCCGACTGCAGTAACAGACAGTCAATCATTCCCGGTTAAATTACCAAGAAAAAGGGAAGAAGTTCAAATTGGAACAAGAACTGACACAGAATAAATATCATCCGAATAGTACAGTACACATAATCCAAATTAACTTCCAACCTTTTTCCCTTACATTATATACGACCATCATTTGAGCAGCCACCGAACACAGGAAAGAAATTCAGAAATTCAAACAAAAAGTGAAGGAAAAACGAACCCGCTGAAGCTTCTTCTCAATTTTTTGTGACAAAGCGCTAAGATAAGCAGAGCTCCGAGGCGTCAACGGGCGTGACATTCCCATCACAGAGCATACAAATCATGCAAGAACCGATGGAGATTGCAAAAGCGTAACCCTAACCTCGATCAATCCGACGACCCTTAAAAACATGAATGAATACTCGGATGGTGCTAGAAGATTGGGGGTCCACCAACAAAGAGGAGGAGCGAGGGATTGAAAGACAGTGGCATACGAAGATCCAGAGGCTGCTTCGAATCAAAGAAATCTTTTGAGAGAACAGATTTGAAAGAATGAAAAGGGAAGAGCGGTTGATTTGGCGCCCGATAAAAGCAGCAGCGTGGCGATTGACGTGACGACCGACAAGAGAACCAATTTGGCGCAATACGGTGATGAGTGCCGCAGTGGACGCCATTCATACGCCTACACGTGTGGGAGTGGGGAGCTATCACCTTAGCTTCATACACTAGTTTTCTTTTAGTGCAATCAAACTAATACTTTTTTTTAGTTTTTTTTTCAACAAACATTTTATAATATATACGTTGTACATATAGGAAGACGGTCGAAGTCACAACCTTTTGATTGGAAATCATAACCTTTTAATGATAAATAGGTACTTTAACCACTCGAACTATGCTCGGTTTAACCTGTTGTATACTTTGAATACTTTTTATTACTATGTCGGTGGGGTTCGAACTCATGACCATTTAGTTAGAGATAGGTGTCTTAACCACTTAAACTATGTTCGATTTGACTTTAATATAAGAATTAATATTTATAATTAATTTAATGTACAAACACGTGGGAATTAATGAGGTAATTATAGTAATTAATTAAGTATCGCGGACAAAGAAGGTCTAGTAGGTTTCAAATTGAATCGTCGTCGGCCTTCAACATGGTTGTCGACGGCGGCAACAGCGTGCAGGAGAGCCGCAATGTAGTTATTGGCCGGAGAACAAAATCTTATCCTCACCCTCATTTAAAAATCGACTCATTATTTTCTTAAAAAATATTTATGTTTTTGCATTTCTCACTCTTAAGTTTGAGTTGTTAAACATTTAATTATGGTGAGGACGAGATTGTTCCTCACCATTAAGGAGCGAAATGTTAAGTATCCCACATTAAAAAGATATGAGACTTAACAATGGTTTATAATAGACCTGGATTACTTCTATCATTGTCAATTGGTCTTGAGATAGAACCAATGAATATTAATATGGTATCAGGGCCCAAAAGAGTCATGATCTCCGATGTTGAAGAGCATGTTAAGGATCTCACATTAAAAAGAAAATTGACCTTACAATGGCTTATAATAGACCTGAGAAGATCTCTTAAATAATGTTATTTTTAAAAATAAAAAAAAAATAGTGCACGTTATACACTATTTTAAAAAATAGGATAGTAAAAATCGCAGTTACCGGTAAAATGTAGTTATTGGCCTTGATTGTTAGACGAAGTCGTAGCTAGGTTTGTAGAGCATATATATTTCTATACCATTAAACTATTCTCATGTTTCTCTCTTGGTGTAGTGGCAAGTAAAAACATAGAAAACTTGAAGTTGTACGTTGAATTGACACTCACACGAAATATGGAAATTGACCCAAAAAAATTTAGGTCGGCAGTTAGGGTACGACCTAAGAAGCCGAGCCGACCTTCAGAAAAGTCCGTAATGTTGTTTCTCCCGAACCCGACAACACGCCGCATTTTTAGGGTGTGTCAGAGTTCCTGTCAGGCCCAGTTTCTATAAATAGAAACCTCTGCCTTAAATGCAAGGTAGTCAATCCTAGATAGAATCAGCAAGTTAGCTCAGATTGGAACTAACTTGTTCGTCGAAGTTCTAACTTTGTTTTGCAGGTCCCTCAAGCGCTCTAGGAGATCGTTTGGCAGCTCATAGAAGATCATCCAGTTCCTTCCAACCTATACCTAATCCGAGCTCAAACATTTGGCGCCGTCTGTGGGGACGACATATTTGAAAGTCAGTCTCACTTCTGCAATCTGAGCTAATGGCCCAATCCCGCTCCCAATAGTCACGATCTCAACTTTCACCGATCCGCTATCCAGGGTGGTGCCACCACCC